GCTTGTATTTGAATGACGACTCGGTAGATGCGTTCAGCAGGTAGGTTTTCATTTAAAATCTGAACGATCACGATGGCAGAGGCTTCTTTTACCACACTCCGATTTCAGATCAGCATTGATGCAGATCGTCCAGAACCGGATCGGAGTTACAACGTTTGTCGAGAAGCTAGAGCGGGTGTCGAAGTCAGAGTTTTACGCCCATGCCGCGCAGAAACCTCAGCCACGTGCTTCCTCGCCTTCACAGCTGATGTTCGACCACGAGTTTACGAAGTTGTTCCACAACTTTGAACCAGAGGTGCTGCGCGTGTTGTTGAGCAACGAGAGTCCGACCGGCGGGGCGATGCTTAACGATACGACATCGCTGACGACGAAGACCACGGTCAACGGCGTTGTTTCTCAGGAGGAGGAGGTCGTGCAGCGTTACAAACAGTTGATCAAACAGCAGGACGATGAAATTACAGCTCTCAAGGAAAAAATTAAGGCGATGGAGACTGGAGCCATCGCAAGCGACGCGTTGGCTGACGTACAGAAGGAGCTGAGCATGAAATGCAGAATCATCGACGAACAAACGAAGTACATGGAAGACTTGGTACGTCGGTTTGAAACAGTTTAGAAATCTTATGAAATTTCACCGCGCTGTCGTTTTGGGTTTCTGTGAAAAGTGAAATGCCGTTCTCTCTCCTTATCCTCCAAAGATTTACTATAAAAGTGTAAACTGGTTTGTAGATACTCCTGTTCACTACTACGGAAGGTTTAATATTAGCCGACCATTTTGTCATTAATAGTAGGCTTTTAACGCTACGGAAAATACATCCCATCGTACTTTCAGTCGGTATGAGATTTCTTTTTTAAGCTAGCTCTGCATGGATGACATAATCTAAATCTTTAGGTTATTAGGTTACACGTAGAAGCGGCTGATGTTTTTATGATGCGAAATTATAATTAAGTAAATTATGAATAAGTAAGCAGAATTTTTTTTCCATTTTTAATATCGGATTGAAGCGGCATAAGCACTGTCCCCTTGCTTCTAGTGGTCTAAGGGACCATTTAAGCAGGCCACAGCTCCATGGTATTTGAGCACCTTCAGTGTATGGATGCAAGACTGCATCATTAGGCAGTGGGATGGTTCTTACGTCGCTTCATTCCATTATCAAAAAATGAAGAAGATTATATATATTAGCTGCGGTATGAGTAACTAAAGTATGCTAGTAAACCCATGAAGTCGGGTTCTGTTTCTTCGTATAGGCATAACTCCTTATTGCTACCTTTGGAGGTAGCCAATTTTTAGTTCAAATCCGGATAGCCAAGTAATATTAAAGTATCAGATGTTGTTACTGGTTTTTTTTCTAAAACATGAGTATATAAAGCAGTGGATCAAAAACAAGTGAAGGGAATCCGTTGATTAATTTTTTTAACTAATGTTTAACTTGATGTTGCCTAACATCAAAGGATAAACTATTGAACGCGACCCGAAACTGTTGGATGTTTCCAAGGTCGAATGTGCTCAAGTTTTGCGGAAACTGTTTGTTGAATATCATTTGCAGAAAAGTTTCAATATACTTGGTAAATTGGTGAAAAGATTGGTAGAAAGGATGTTTTTTAACTCGTTTGCTTTAGAGATAACTAATTTTGTCTGCAGATAATTGTCTACTCTCTCGATGGTGGTGTTGGTGAAGTGGTTATCGCTACAGCCTTTCCTATGTCTATATTTTTTGTTTTATGACAGTATCCGCATATCCGTAAACAGATGTATGCTGTTAAAATATTTTGTCGAGACGTTACATTTTGGACACACGAAATTGACTTGATCCGTTGTTCAAGATATTCTAGGAGTAATCCTGATATTTGAGTTCAGTCGATGAGGCAAGATCTGAATGCATTTACGTAGGTCTGGATTTAACTGCTTCCATGGGCCCTCCTCTCCTGAGTCAAGGGCCTGATATGTCTAAAATTGCGTTGAAGACCTGACAGATGTAATCGATTTCTCTGAAAGTAACGGTTTGTTTGTCGGTAGTGTAGTGAGATTACTCGATGGAACACGAAGGGTATCAAAATTCATCAGGGTCATGAAACAGTCGGTAACACATGCGAGAAAAAACCAATCAAATTCAACATATTATGCGCTGTGTCACATCACATTAAGACCTGCTATAAATTCGATTTCGCTGGCGCGGCGCCTCTCGCCGATCCAAGAAAAATCCGAATAGCTGAAAAAATACCGCTTGACAAGTCATCCAGCAACATTATGAATAGTGACTGTGGATTAGAAATGCCGAAAATCTGGATCAGCTGAATATAAAATAAGTCAGATCGGGTTACAAGGAGTATTCAGTGGTCGGCTGGCGCTA